CTATGGAAGTAAGACTTCCAAACAATGAACTAATTAAAACCGGACAAAGAAGACAATTGTAAGTCAATCCTGCCATTTGGCCTTTGTGAATTTTTGCAAACATTATGGTTACCCGTTTCTGCAATCTAATAAGGAATTGTCATTCGGATACAGTTAATGAAATACTTTATTACGCCTCCATTCAGAATCTAGAGGAAAGTTACGAGACTGAGTGGCGTAAGCTATTTAAGTTCATTGATTTCAAGTTTTGATTAAGGAAGGATCTAGGCAGTGTTCTCACTTTGGATGATTTTCAAAAACTCCAGAGCATGAGGGACCAGAATTCACAGAGGGTCCGGGATCTAATAAATAAGCGGCATGACAGGAATCTGCTTAGCTATCGGATTATAAGGCAGCCCAAGACCAAGCCAATCCGGGAAAATTGTGATGGTTCTTTATTAAAGGCATCAACTGCTACGGACGACGATAGGACAAGGGTAGTAAACCTATTTTCAATCCCTTTGGATTGTGAAACTACGGATCTCTTAAAGAACGGGCTACGTTCTTAGTGATATTCTGGTGGAAATTGTCAAATTAACGGATAAATATCCAGAAGATACTAGGCGGGAAATGGAACTGGAAATAATCCCACAAATCCTGACACATCAAGAAACTAACACAGAAGCAAATTGGCTGGTATACAAAAAAAATACAAAATAATGATCCAATAGTTCTCCAGGCGGATAAGGGAGGGGCGACGGTTGTGATTGACAAGGAACAATACACGAAGAAAATGGAAAGTAGCCTAGGCGACCGGAACACTTATCAAATACTAATAATGGGGAAATTGACAGATGGATGATTAAATCTTTAATTAAAAATGACGCAAGACCACCGACAACCTACAGATTACCGAAGATACACAAGGAAGGGAATCCTCTAAGGCTAATAGTCAACAATAAGAATGGATAAAAACACAAACTATCAAAATTCATTTGCTTGAAGCTCAAGAAAGTAAATGAGAGACTGTTGAATACCGTCAAGAATTCATATGAATTTTCTCAAAGGATCCAGAACATTGGGTTGGTTGGGTTGGAACCGTTGGTGAGTTTCGATGTACAATCTACGCACACAAACATCTGAAGCAAGAAGGCGATAATCGCCTTGCTGGAGATATTGGAGCGAGAAGAGGACATCCTGGAGGCAGAACGGATACGGAGGAGTCGTTGACACGACCGATCAACCTGACAGTAAGGACCACATATTTTACATTTAACGACAGTTTCTACGAGCAAATACTTGAACTACTGATGGGATCTCCACTCTCACCTCTTTTGGCAAATGTGTACATGGACAAGTTGGAAAGGGAATTCGTGAAGTCACCATTGCAACCAAGAGTACTTATGCAATATTTGGTTGACTACTTTGCACTTTGGTTACATGGTAAGGAAAATCTAAATGAATTCCTCAATTTTATTAACCAACTT